GATGATTTGAGACCAGATTCCTCAACAGAGTTAAATCATTTCTAGCCAGTCCCAACAGAGCAGAAATCACTCTGCCTTGCAGCAGGGTTGTCCTCACCATGATGCAAAACTCTACTACACATTCTGCTCAGTGCTTGTGCCTTTGCCTTAGAAAAGAACTCTGCTCAAAACCAGTACAAACCAGTGCACGCTGTGGATCTGAAACTGGTGCCACAGCTCCAGGAAGATGATCATCACCCAGAAGGACCTGTTACATCCACAAATAAAGCCAGTGTCCTGCCTTCAGAAATTAATTCCATTGTGCTGGATCAGATGGCTGCATGTGATAATCATAGATCATAGATATAATCATAGAATGACATAGGCTGGAAGGGACCTTAGAGATCATCTAGTCCAACCTCCCTGTTTTGGGCAGGGATGCCACCTCTCGACTAGACCTAGCAACACATGGGGACTGAGTGGGAATACTACCACACCTAATCTAATTTTTGCAAAGAGTGGCAATCCAGGCCTGCAGTTCCTGGGTGGATGGCCCCAGGTCTGCCTACCTGCATCCAAAGGGAGCTTACAGATCTGTGCAATCAGGAAATCTTTCAGTGCAGGGTAGGAATATCTAAAGGGTGAAGAGAAGGTCTCACTGAGAGGATAAGCTTGTGGATCCTTCATGGAGCACCACAGGGACTACGGATGTTGTGCTTTGCACTGAACACGCTTCCTTTCCTTGGGGACAAATGCACCTGGGTACATAGATCTCTGGGCATCATAGGAATTAAGAAATATGTGGAAAGCAAAACTGCTTTCAGCCTAGCTGACTACACATGACAAGTGCTATCAGGCCATCTGCCAATCATTTCTCTCTCTCCATTATGACTTGTTGGTGATTTTTCATATTTTTTTCCCCATCTCCATAAGCCCTCCCATTTTGGAGTGACTATCTGACTAGAGATTAACTGTGACACTTTTGGTCATGGAATACACATGCAAACTCACAGTCCAAAGGACTGATTTTTATCTTAAATTGAGATTTATACAGCATTTCCCTCCTTGGAAGGTCTGAGGACCAGGAATGATGCCATACAACACCTCATGGGCTTCTCACAACTTTCAGCAGTAAATCTGTTGCTCCAGAGGCAGAAAAAGGAAGGAAGCCCACAGCAAGTTATACTCTGTGGGGCAATTTGCCTTTTTATTTCCTCATATATTCCCTGACTGGTGGAAAATCACTCTTGGCAAACATAAAACTTACCTTGCTGCCAAAAGGTGCATCTTTAAATTATTAATCAAGAGCACACAGAACTACGAAAGGTGGAATATTGAACAAAGGCTCAACTGACACTCTGGAAGTTGAAGAAGATATGGAAGACTCCCTTCTAATTTATTTATTCCTCTTCTGTTCTGTTATCCTGATATGCTGCTTCCAGTTACCACTGCACCCTGCACTGTATGGTATTACGTGATTTTGTTTTCAGATTGGTGGAGATAAAGTTGCTTCATTATTAATATATATGCACTGTGCATATCCATAAATATTGAATATATACGTGTGTGTAAACCTGCTGGAAGTGTTAATAGTTAAGATAAGCTAAGTCCATTATCACAATGAGTGACTATTTCTATGACCCTATTTGCAATAAAACCAGATTCAATGATATGAGAAAATTGCTAGGTTTCAAAATAATTGAACCAGGCCAGACGATTCTCACAAAGGCATCATTTACTAAGTACTTTGCTTGTCTAGAATATTTATTCCCACAGAAGGAAATGAAAAAAACGTTCATGTGGTTACATAGCTATCCTCTGAATGCAAAATTGTTTTATCATGTTGTGCTTATTTCCGAGACATCTTCCATTGGGGTATTTCAGGAAAATACTGGCTATGCAGTTAGTTCCTTTATATGGATTGTTCATATCAATTCACTGAGAAGTCAATCATGTTTTGTCCAGGCTTGGTTTTGTTTTCTGCTGAGCAAACATTTAGGCAATGCTTTACTTGTAAAAACTTATTTGCATATACAATGTGCACCATTCAAATTCAGCACTACGCAGACAGTTGAGATGCCATTGATTCCCTCCTATGTACAATGGGAAGTAGTGGAGCTCTTCCTGAAAACACTGGCGTTGCTCAGTAAGACTGCAGTATATTGTTCGTATTTAAGGACTCCATCAGTAGTTACAGATATTTTTAGTTTGTCTCGTATTGAAAGCCTGAATAGATTTGTACTATTAAATGTTCACAGCGAAATGCTTCCAAGCAATCTACAGACAAAGAATTACTCCCAGCAATTATCCACTGAATAAATCTGAATAATGAATACATTCACAAAAGTCACTATCTATTTATGAACAATTAGCTGAAAGAAATAGAGGTGACACTCATCAGCTAAATAATTCATTTATGAATTCTTTGTCCAGCTTTTCTTCTGACATATGTTGCATGAAATGAGATCAAAGCTTAGATGAAAAATTACTTTAAAAAGAAGGGCAATGTTTAAAGAATTTCTTCTAGCTTCAAAAGCAGAAATTAGCCCACTATTGTAACTATTATTTATTACCAGAGGCTAGTGATTTATTTCAGAGGCTAGTGGTGTTATTTTTCTTGCGTCTTTCACATCATGCACTAAATTCTCTTTTATTCCTAATGTATATCCAATTTTAGATTGTTAAACTGCAATCAAAAGCACTTAGTAGGAATGGATCTGTCCCTTTTATGAGATTTGAACTCCTGACATCTTTAACCACTGGAATTTGAGTACCCAGGTAACTACTAATTATTCAAGCATTTACAACCATTACTATCCATATAATTAACTCACTGTGGGATAAAAGTGGGAATGGCAAGAAAACATTTATAAGCTGCCCAATTATTTTTCAATCAAACAAACAGGAAGAAAATGTTTACGTTAAAGGGGACTCTAGAACCAAAAAGAAATAGTTTCTGGCATCAAAAAATTATAAATGTGCTCTCCATATGCCCATTTCTCAGAAACAACAAACCCCCTCCGACTCTTCTGTAGGTTGTCTTTTTTCTTGAAAGAAAATACCAAGAAGCTTCTGGCCAATTGCTTTAGAAAAATGTGGCACTTTTCTTTCAATAAAACCAAATTCAGTGAAAAAGACAGGAACAAGGTTTTTCACTGAGACCTTAAAGCTCATGAGCTCACTGCCACTCTCTGCAGGAATGAAAGCCTGCACAAAACCTTCTTAAGTGCCTTGTGGGACAACACCAGTAAAAATAAATGAGACGATTCACATGGAGACAGTCAAAGCTAGATGAAGACTAGAGTCTGACCCCTCTTCCCTCCTCCATCAGTTTTGTTGGCCAAAGTAGGCAGGTAAATTCCATGTTGCATTAATTGGTAGCAAGTGATTATCACAAAAGAAAGAAAGAGGAACCAAAGGAGAAGCTAGGTTTGGAAGGCTATCACCCTTCTGTCTAGAATGTACTGTGAACAAGATTTTGAAGAATTACCTTTCCCCACCGAAAGCTCAGCTTAGATACCTGCTATATCTGCTATAACTGCTGTGAAACACTTGCAGGACACACCAGAGAGGGGATTTCGAGAGTGTTTCACAAGCCCTGCAGGTGTGAGCCATTTGCAGCATGAGGAAAAGCCCTCCGTCACCCCAATGTACAGAAAAGAGAAGGTAAGGTGACTCTCTCCAGGTGGCTTTTAGATATGGTGCATTCAGTGAAAAGCCCCAGGGCAGCAAATTCTGTTCTTCTCCGTGGTGGCATTGCCTTCACTGCTGGAAATGGAAGGGCTTGAGGACAGCAGCCCCTGCAAGCACTGCAGACCCGTGCAGAGGCTGAGCTGTGGGAGAGCAGAGACTCGAGGGGGCGGCTGACCCCACAGCAGCCACAGCCGCCTCCACTGCTGGCTCAGTTTTCTCTATGGGAGTATCCAAATCCTTCTCATCTGCTCAGCCAGTCCCCAAATCCCTGAAAGGAATGTTAAGACAGTGAAGCCCACAGAGCTGCTCTGCCCTCTGGTTCCTGGTGCCAATGTAAGCGTCTTGCAACCCTCACTTCACTGGGTATGTGCAAAACAAGGGCCAGCCTGAGAATGCCATAGGAGTATTCATCCCACCACCTGGAAAATAACACAAACTGGAATACTTTAGACAAGTCACAGCAAATAAATAGTTCTGGGAAAAAATAAAAAAGAAAGAAAAGCACTCGCTTGTGCTTGTAGAGGCAGCAAACCACCATATTTCAGCAGTCATGGCAGGTATTTCTGACTGGAAATTGTATATTTGATGATGACCAGCCTTCAGCATTTGACAAGGGGCTGTTAAAGTCTCTTGAACAGTAAATCATCTCTCTTCCTATCAATAATCTTGTTACAATATCTGTAGAAATGTCTAATGTTAAAATTCCACTTTATTACTATAATAATGGATCTAATTTGTAAAACATATAAAGCGAGACCATAACTGTACTGGAGGGAGATATATGTGATCCCACTATATCTGTATCATTTCCTGGTGGTTTTACCCACATACTTTGAATGGGAGAAGGATTAAAAGCAATCCCACTTGCAAGAATTTTGAGATTGGGAATGGCTTCTGGAAAGGAGATCAACATGGTCACGGAAATACAACAATTATTATAAAAAGAACAGCCTTGACTTCATATTTATATGTATAAATATGTAGGTATTTATCTGCAATTTGCTCCATTCAGACCCTTTCTACTTTCCAGGAAAGCCCTGCTCTCCAGCAGTACAATCAGTATTATCACTATGTGCTATTTTTGGCTACCGAGTACATTTCAAGTAACGTCATCCTTCCCAAGCCAACACTGGTGTGAAGGGCGGAAACTCTTCTTTCCACTCCTCTGTCATTTCCTGCTCTTCCCATCTGCTCGGTGGCACTGCCTCCTCACTCCTCACTGCAGAAGGATCTCCAGACGCTTTCCTCTGGTCCTTCTCATTTTCTTGCGCAAGTGGCTTTCCAAGTGAAGCTTCGTGCGGGAGGCTTCATGTTGGCATCCAGAGTACATGTCCCAGATATGCCCAGCCCCACCTTCCGATCCTAGTGCACAGGAGCTGCTGGTAAGTAACCTCTTGATGGGCAATAGAGTCTTTGTGTCCAACGCATGGCACATTTCACAAAAGGATTGTTTTTAAGGGTATATAATTCCCTGACTAGCATTTTGGCATGTTTCCAGTTCTCAGCGCAGTATGTTAATACCAAGTTTCTGACTGAGGAGAGAATGTATTATTTATTCTGACGCTGTGTAGCTTCGATTTCCATAAGCCTAGCAATTATTGTAAATACCATTTCCTTTTTAAGATCTTCCTTGGCTAGGTGCTTCCCAACCAGCTAGTTGTTTAATGTTTATCTTTTCTGGTGTGGTGTTGCTGTTAATAGTTTGGAAAAGCGCATATGGACAAAAGCTACACTTGGAGTTATAAATCTCTTCAAATATAAGGTTGTTTCCTTGGTTGTGCCACAGGAGGAGCTCTCCTAGCTAAAGCTATAACCACCACTAATCTGACTTGGTCTGTATCTCCTAAACTTGTTTCGTTTTACACATAATAATTAAATATTCATTACGCCAGAAATTGTGTGTGTGCTTGTGTGGCTATTTCAGAGCAATCAGGGTACTCACCTGGTAGATGACAGACCCTGTTCCCAGTGACTGCTCCAATGAATATTTAAGTATTTCATATTAAGTATTCATTGGAGCAAAGATAGGAGCAGACTTCTCCCACCCCCAAGGGAGCACGCAAACACCAGGATGCAAAGTCATTCTTTCGTTCTTTCTTTAGCTCAATGAATATTTAATTATTTGAAGCCAAACAAGACAGCTTCAGTGGCAGAGACTGAGATTCCGTGCTCCCATGTATGCACCATAGCTCTGATGATGAGGGCATGCATATAAGAATGTAGGTTCATATTCCTTTGGTGTTTTTTGGAAGAGATTTGAATGCAGGTATCCCACACTCTGGAAAAAAAAGGAGCAGGAACAGTGACTAGAAGGACAAAACAAACTACCTAAGGTATAATAACAGAGGAACAGAGGAAAGGGGGAGAAAGGGGTAGCAAAGATTACTTTGACCTTAAAGTAAAGATAAAAAGTGGAAAATCTCTGTCAACCACTAAGTCATTTGAAAATATAGAAAATTTGCCATCTGCTCTCCACTTCTGAAGGACAGTGGGTGTCTCTGGACTGAGGTGCTTTGGATTCACTTTGGGGAATTTACTGGGGAAACATTCCTATGCAGAAGAGGGACTTACTACTATTATTGCAGCTCTGTTTCTTGTCATTTGGCAGAATTGTCAGCAATTTGATTTCATTATCAAAGACTGTGGCTTCCAAGCAAAAGACAGAGCAACAGCATAACTGTGACATCGAAGTGCAAACACATTACTTTTCCATAGCCCTTAGGACAGTGTTCAAAGCCAAGACTGCTGCATAGTCTCAGTTGTTGAAATGGCAACACTGCATTAAGAGCAGAGCTGCTTTGCTCATAAGAACATTTCAAAGGTGTTTCCAATGATATAGTTCATTTATTTCATATGACGTTTATGTCCTACCCTAAGGCTGTTGAGTAGCCACCTTGGTAACTGTTCAGTCCAATTTAAAGAAACCCTTTCTCAACAGTTTGCTGTTTGTCACTTTACCCAACCTTTTGCCTGAAAGGAGAGCTTTGAGTACTGAAGATCTATGACAATGAAGGCATATCCATATTGTCTTGCTATAAATATTACAATGGTCTGACTATAAACGCCAAAACAGATGTGTTTTGTGTCATGCCCTTCAAGGGACATGGTAACACAACTACAAAATTTCCAAGCTTCATCCTGATGCATTACTCCAATTTGAATAGCCATGTGTTTTGTGTTTCAATCAACTCTTTAGACAGATGACAATAGCTATCCTCCTTCAATACTGAGGAAAAGGCCACCTGTGGACCAAGCTGGGGGGCAAAAGCGGAGAGCAGAGAAAAGGGTTCGATTTCGTGAGCCAGAAGAAGTCATTGAATATGGTATGCTTAAGCTGTTCAGCCTTTTGGCATGACCTTTCTAACTTTTAACATCCACCCTGTCTATCCACATCAGCTTCACCCTTTGATAATGTTATTTGTGATTTTGAGATCAGCATGGGGCAGAGGACAGACAATTTTTGCTCCATGCTCTGCCGAATTGCATCTGGTCTATTTGCTTTCCTGCCCTGGGAGAAGACAACCTCTTGCATTGTTAGAGTAGCCTCAGGGCTGTTCTCCTGGTGAACTCCTGAGGATACAATAGTAAAGGTCTGAGTCTAGCTGGCCCACTGGGATTAAAAGCAGTCAGGTTGCAGCCACCTCTACCAGTGAGGGCACCCAAGGAGTGATATAGCTAACATAACCTTTGGTCTGTTGTTCATGAGCCAAAATAGCAGTTTACAGGTAGGTCAACTGGGAGTGATGTTAAGCAGAGGTCTAGCACAGGAATTCAGTTTGCACTTCGGCACATGCTATATGCAGTTTGTGACCAAATAAGAGCTGTTGTTTCATTCAGATTTTCACAAACTAACCCAACTAAGAAAACCTGCATTTATTAATAAGGAACTAAAACTGTGTTGCTATGTCAATTAGTAAAAACACAGGTGACAGAATGGTGAAATTTCTATATGTCAGCCATGCGAAGCGACTGCTACTCCACTACTGAAAACAAAGCTTGGCATCCACTGATATGTCTGTAAACAGACCTCTCATTGGCTTTGCAATACATTGTTTGTGGTTCCTACCAGTGCAGGAGGGAAAAGCTGTTTCTTGACAAGGTTGTTGACATGGCCTGGGCTTTCCCGTCAAAACTGAACTGGGCAGACTCAGTGAGTCAGCCCTAAATTCTTCAAAGCTCGTCTGACTGCTCAAGAGCAAGATTTTGATGAGAGCTAATATCTCCTTCAGCTCCTTCCCAGAGTCCATGCTCTCACATCAGTGCTGGTAATCCTGCAGTCCCTCCAGTCCAGGGGGAGCAGATGCCTCTCCCAGTGGCTCTGAAACCAGCACAGACATGCTTGAGCTCCAGGGAGCAAGGACAAGGAAGACTCTGACTCTTTTCCGTGAAGACATGAGCAATGTCCCAACTCATAATTAATGTTCTGTGTTGCAAACAGCCTGTGATTTACCAGTCCTTAGACAAGGACTGGTAAGATGAAGATTGCTGGCACCACAGAAATTTTTCCATTCTCTGAAGTTTTCATTCTGGATAGTGTCTGTGTTCTGACTGCCAAACAGAGACAGTTCCAGGATATTGTTGGGTGAAAGCTGCATCTGACAGTGAGCTTTGCTTTCTTAACTTTCACTCCCCTCTCAGTTTGCTGGTCTATGCCCTTTCCTTCCTAGAAATTATGTGGAATTGGGAGGCCTTTTTTGCAAGGGCTGACTCCTGACCTCCCTGCAACAGCAGCAATCTTTGTCTCGAGCCTCTCATACAATAATTTTTTCTCACTTTACTGAAGTGCACTTACATTTGCATGTTTGCATGGAGTGGGAAGATCCTCATCTGACATGAATCTGTAGAGGCAGAAGCAGTGTAAGAGATGGCCCAGCCAGCATCTGTAAGGCAACAGGCAATTTGAGAGGCACTGCTTGGTGCTTGCTTGCTTAGTCATCTCCCGCAAAGAGGCCCTTCCAGGCATGTAAGAACATTTTCATTCTGTTTTCTAGCCATTTCCTGCTGTGACTACGTAGTGGGTAAGTTGAAGTTTCATGTTATAACTGTGAGCCATCCACAGCACTAACCTGAGTTTGCTTTGTGGCTGCTGAGATGCACTGTGCAAATATATGCTCTGTACATAAAGCATTTCCTGCTGTCAGTAGTTGTTGCTTTTTCTTCTCAGCATATGAAGCACAAGGTGTTGATGAGATCTGGTGTAGTATTTTAAACAAGACATCTAGTAAGACAAATAGTGGAAACACAAATGAAATCCCTGAAGCTATTTTTAATTTAAATATAATTAATATATTTTATGGCAATTGAATAGGTACAGTTTTTTCACTAAGATATGCAGGGAGAGCACCCCAAGCAAGACAGTAATTCTCCCTGCTCACTTTCATCTGTGAGGAAGAAACAAATCATTTGTATGCTGGCAGCACAGAAATAATAAAAATAGCCTATTTTTTTCTTTTTTGTTTGCAAGGATATTTGAGGCCATTCAGCCTCACAGCCCCTAAAGCAAACGTGTATTTGGATGTTCTTACAATGCTGATCATTTCTAGAGGCCCTGGCCAACATCCAGCCCCTGCTATATGCAATGCAATAAGGGGATAGGGGTACATAGACACATGTATACACACATGCACATAGAGCCATAGTGTCCCCACACCCCTCAGCTGTTGGTATTGCCCAGGAAGGGGAATTGTGTGCTCGTGCCAATGGCAGTGTCAGCAAAGGAGTTAGTGGACTAGGAACAAGGTACTACAGACAAGGAAGAGCCTGATGGAAAAGGAAAAAAAGACCAAATATCCTTCAGGTGACAGTGGAAATGTGTGTCCGAGGCAGGATCTGAACCAAAACCTCCTGAATCCCAGTCCAGGCCTTTTCTCAGATGTGTTGCCTTTTTCTGAAAGTGGGCACATGGCTAGGGCTGAGTGTGTTGTTCCAAGAGGCAATTTAACTAACAGTTGTAAGCATTAATCTTCTGTTCATAATCAAGGAAAGAGCAAGCATGTTTAAGAACATAATTGTAGTGATATAAGGAAAAGCCAAGACTGCATTTGAGCTCACCCTGAAATTTCACGTGGGAAGTACCTTTTGCAAGACTGATAAAAAGTTATGAGCACTTCATAGAAAAGAGCTGATGTGAAAAGCTCTTTAGCTTTCACAGAAAAGTTCCATTGTTACCAGGTATGCTCATCAGCCAGGCCCCATGCTCTGAAAGGCAGGTGGTCACCCAGTTGAGAACTGTATCATGTGGTGTGGGAGATGACACAAGGGAAACACCAACTTCCAAATCACAAATCTCTGCAAAAGCAGAATGTGGTAATTCCCTGGCTAAATACCTTCATATAGAGCATTTACAGAATAACGTCAAATAAACAAATTTATAAAAATTGAAATATGCTCATGGATAATTTACAAACAGAGAGAAGGGCTAAATTCAAATCAGTAAATTATGTGCTGCAAATAATTCACTCAGTTCTATTATCGGGCATTGATTTGGTTTCTGGTTAGCTATAAAATGACTGCCTATTAACATTTTACCTTTTCCCCATGCACTTTTTGATACATTATTATGTGTTTCTTGCTTGGTTTTATGACTTTTACCTTCCTCTCTGTACATCTGTATGACAGTTTAATTGACTGGTGTGTATTCCAGGGCTCGTAGTAGAAGCTAATTTAAATATGTTACGGCTAATATTGGCCCTTTACCCGTAATAATACACACCACATTTTTACCTCCTTATTGATTATGTGTGTATGGCAAGGAAATAACTGCACACTACGGATTTTTATTCAGGCATGAATTTGGCTTTATACTACATATTTAATACTCAAAGTGATTTATAAAATAATACCAATTGTGCAACGGCCATGCAGTCAAACAGAGCAGCCAGAGCTGAATCAAACTGGATTCCTGAGGCCTCTGGATAGATACACACATGCAAGGGCACAGGCGTCAGCGAGCTAAATGTATCCCACTGATTTCCACATATGTACTGTGCCTGACCTATGGCACTTTAAACATACTTTGCTTTAAAGGCAAGACAAATGTTTACAGTGTACTCTTGCTTAAGAGCAAGTGTAGAGGATGTTCTAGTGTAATTAGCACACCTAGCACTTAGGGACAGGTTAAAACTGCCAGAGCTTTCTAAATACGCTTCTTGGTTAATGGAGCCATGTGTCGATTCTTGCTGTAATTAGCAGGTACCGCAAACAAGCTGAGTTACCAGGAAATATGTAACATTTGTGAGCATTAAATAATTAGAGGAGGTAGCTTATTATTCTCCTAGTATTTAACTTAACTTTTAGCGTAAAGGTATAAAAAATAATTGCTGGGGGGAAAACTTGTGATCATGCGTTAGCTATGGTAATCCTGTTCTTATTGTATATAATTAAACTCTTTAAATGTTCCGTTAGATGAGATCTTTTATACTTACCACCCTCCATCAGGAGGTGTGACTCACTATCACTTAACTGCTGCCCAGAGAAGTGCTCACAACCAGACCCCTGTGCACCCTGATGTTCCCAGAAAAGTGGGACAAAGGCATCAGCAGGGGGTCAAATTTGGGAAGTGTATAAGATGACACTAAAATAATGCTGCTTTCTTTTTCTCCTCATCACTGTTTGGTAGATGACAGGTCATCATCTGGATTGCCTGTGCTCCTGGGGCTCTCATTTTGTGTAGTGCTGATCCTTGCTGTGAGTCTCTACTACATCAGCATGAAGCAAGATGTCAAAGTCCTGGAAGAATTTCAATCTCGACTTGTCATCTTCTTTCTTCAGATAAGACATGTTGCTCAGAAATGCTGGACTTGGTTTGTGAGGCAGTAACAACGTCTTCCAGCCTCACAGACATCTCAGAGCACTGCTGACCAGCCCACCGCAGCACAAAGCTCCCAGTCTGCTCCAGTCACACACAGGGAACACCTGAGCATCCACCTCAAAGAACAAGAAAACCACCCCTATTGTCCACTCTCCAGCAACCACTTCTTGTCCTTTCTTTTTTCTTCCTTATTTTTTTTTCACGTTGCTGGACAGTCATACTAACGCCTTGAGGTCCTACCAAACCCATACTCCATCTTCCTGAACAGCAAACAAATATCTGAATTTTGTCCCCCAAAAGAGCTTATAAACTGCTGATGTGAGGAGCAGAAGTAAAGAGAGAAATACATTGATCTGTGCAGGCAGCAGCAAGCTCTGGATAAAAGTCTCCTGAGTCTCAAGTCAAGGCTTTAAAAATCAAACCATCTTTCTCCTCAAGTCTCCTAAGAGCTATTCTGCAAAAGTTAAAATAAAACTGAGCTATTTCACAAAAACTGCTCTGGCAGCCAAAGACTTGGCAAAATGCTATATTTATGCACCTGGAATTATTATTAGCAAAATCCTGGCAAATGGCTTTCCTGTTTCCCTTCATACATTTTTTTCCTCCCTGGGCAAAGGCTGTTTCTTAATGTTTCACTTGACTCCCAGGTGTGAAAAAGAGCATGAGAACTGATTTAAACAGTAAATAGTTTATTTGCCTAACATAATAAACAGTAGCATTGAATCCCAGGCTAATTATCGAATCAGTAGTTTAATCCTCTGGGTTTGATTCAAACCATAAACCTCACTAGCTGAGCTTTAAAGATTTATGATAGTGCTTTTATTCAGTGTGTGATTATGCTTTTGTATCTGGGTGTTCAAGTGCTTATATAGTGATAAAATGGACTGTTTATGAAAGTGTGGGAGGCAAATCCCCTTTATCCTTGTATTGTCCCACCATAGTATGTACCTCTCTGAAGAGAATCCTTCTAATGGAGATCATGCAATAAATGTGGAATGGTGCTCTGGTTATCTGAGAGGAGAACAAGTGAGTGCAAGCTTACAAGCGTCAGCTGTGTCTTCTTCCTGGGCAAAACCAGCACAACTAGTTTTTTTGGTCTTATGTTCTTGTCAACTAGCACTGAATGTGTGCTTGAGTTTATTTGATATGATAAGATTGACATCAGAGCCTGTAAGAGCTGAAGAAAAGAAAAAAGAAGACCGAAAAAAAAAGGAAAGGAAACACTTTAGAGAACATGGAAGAGAGGCCTGCAAGACCTTGGCTTGGAATTCCCCTGCCATTGCAACCTACCAAAAAGAAAAAAATGGTGCTTTATTTTTAAATGATTTTTTATAAGAGAGTCATACAACAACCTTCTTCCAAGCAGCCCAAGGACTTTAACCACGCAGAGATTAAACAGAAACTCAATATGCAGCCTTTGCTCAAAAGGAGAGTGGGCAGAAACTTGATTGAGAGCAAGCCAAAAAAAAATGCAGTCTAAGACAGAAAGAAGTGATTTTAGGGACTATTCTCATGCTTCTCTGAAGATGTCAAAGGCCACAGCAATTGCATTCAACACACTGCCAGTCTGGGGACTTTAACCACGCAGAGATTAAACAGAAACTCAATATGCAGCCTTTGCTCAAAAGGAGAGTGGGCAGAAACTTGATTGAGAGCAAGCCAAAAAAAAATGCAGTCTAAGACAGAAAGAAGTGATTTTAGGGACTATTCTCATGCTTCTCTGAAGATGTCAAAGGCCACAGCAATTGCATTCAACACACTGCCAGTCTGGGAAGCAGAGGCTGCTGCAGGAGGAGTGTTTAGCTCAGGGGTTCTTTGTGCAAACTGCTTGAGTACCCCAGGCCAGAGGGTAAGTCTCATTGCTACTTCCCTTTCCTCTCCCCCATCTCAGCCTTGCTGTTTAGATAATAAAGACGAAAGGTTTTAACCTTGTGTGTTGGTGAATCTCTGATGAAAATGTTTGAATTGGTAGTTGCATGGGGCAAGGAGGTCACTGCAACTCCTGTTTACATTTAACGTTCACGTTGAAACTCTGGCGAATTGGTGGTATTCCTTTTTTGGCTCTGGACTGACTCATCCTCCCAGCACATAGCTACTATCCCCTTCAAAACAGCAGCATTTATTGAAGGGACAGCTCCGTCACTGCAAGTCATGGCACATTGCAACAAGAAAGCAAAGCCTGAGAGGACAAGAACCGAGCAATCTGAAGAGCAAAAGCAGTGGGATGAACTCTTCCAGTATGCTGACAACCTGGGTTTGGTAACTTTAAAAAAAGTCAAAGGGTTAAAGCAAAAGAACGCCTCTTATGACTGTGAGAGAAAATGTAGTGAAAATGTGAAGTCCTTATGTGTGCTCATCTCCCTGCACGTCTCCCCAGGAGATGGACATGGCACCATTTTTCCACTGGCTTTGCTTTAAATGGAAACTGCCACATTTTCCTTGCTGGGGCCCGACTCTACCAGTGCAAGTGCGAAAGGCTATCATGTCTGGGCTGTCAGAGAAATTAAGCAGAAGAACATCTATTCTTGGCTTCTGCTTAGGCTCTGTTTGGGACAGTTTTGGGCATGGGTAAGGCAGCACTTGAGCTGTATGTTGAGGTCTCACCATGGCCTTGCAAGGTCTCCCAGGTCAGGATTGTTTACTGCGGTGAGTGAGATATGTGGCAGGCTGCAGAAAGCCAAAACAAATTTGCTTACAAAGCCAGAACATTTAAAATAAATAGAAGCTAAACTCCATTTCTGGGAGAGCAGTGGGATTTTGCAGGTGAAGAAATCAAAGCTGAGAAAGCCAATGCATACATGACAGTGAATGAAGCAGGTCAATAACAAGGTTGAGAATAGGAGAAAAAAAATCCCAGCTCTTAGGTCTGCATTTATTTAATGCAACACAGCTTCCCTGTGGACTTACTTGTTTTATTTCCTTCTAACACTGAAGCTCTTTTCCCATTCATCCATCCTGCTTACACAGGCTCACACAACAACATGCACCCTTTTCTCATTCTTCCCCTTCTTTCTGTTCTTTATCCGCCACAGATCTATCTTTACTGCTGTGGGTCGAATGGGAATTCTCTTTATTTTTGTTCAGTGCTGTTTTTCTAGGTGTGAGACCTTTGTGAGTTTGGAAGAGCTAATACGAGCTCTAAAGATACTCAAAATCAGCCACATTGGATAACAATTCCCTTGCTGGCCATGCTGGGCTTGGTTTACAATAACCTTTTAATATCTCCCTTCAGTACAATTCCTAAGAGCTGCTCATAAATAAGTGAAAAAGGAGAGTATATAATTTATTACAAACGATCGAGATGCTCACCTGGACTCACACTGGTGCCAGCATGATGAATCACTTTAGAAACCAGAAATCCTGCAGCCAACCAACTCTGAGCAATTATTTAATCCAGAAGCTATCATGCTTTAGGTTTAAAGGGTTGAAAGAGGGAGTGATGGAAGACAGGACTCTTGCAGCAATTTTTGAAGGAGACAGCAAGTAGGTGGGTTCCCAGGAGCAGTGTCCAGGGTGGCAGGAGTCAAAGGGTCAGAAGAGAGTAGAATCATAGAACCATAGAATGGCCTAGGCTGGAAGGGACCTTAGAGATCATTTAATCCAGCCTCCCTGTCACAGGCAGGGAGGCCTCTCAGCTAGATCAGGGAATATATGGGGACCGAACGGGAATCAAACCCGCGACCTTGGTGTTAGCAGCACCACACTCTAACTGATTGAGCTAACTGGCCCCCTAGAAGGAGGTCTGTTCATGAAAATGGATTAGTGACAGGGCCTCAGGGTAGAAGTGCTGCCTAATATCCCTTATTCAATGAGTATGAAATTAATGCACAACAGAAATCGGCATACCACAACAGTACAGAGTAAGTGTTGTTTTGACAGTGTTCGGTATGATCCTGCAGCATAAGTGGAGGGCAGCTGCCAACACTCTCTTCAGACAGGCTCACCACATCAACAGCACCTGATTGCACTATCAGGCATATCCATACCAGTACGATTACAGGAGATAGAAAAGGACACAGTGAGATGTCACTAGATGTTTTTAAAAATAATCTTTTAAGGCAATCAGCATTAGTGGTAAAAGGCAGCCCCAAAATCTGCTTCCAGTCCCATTCACTCCATCTCTCCAACTCTACTTGTCTTGAAACAAGTTAATGGAGCAGGAGAAGCCCATAGCAGCAATTTTAATCGTCATTTCTGTCTTTTGCCACCCCAAAGCAAGCAGAGGGGTTTGGCAGTGTATTAGTAGGAAAAGGATATTACCAGCTGCCCTGAAGGAACAACTCAGGAACCTCTAAGAAAATAGCATGGATTTGTTTCTTATTAATTCCTCACTCCAGGATAGCTGTTGGGAACAGAGAGCTGTTTAGGCTCAACTCTGAAGAGAAAAGCTGATGCTACCTAAAGAAAATTAACCAGTTAGCATTTAGAAAATGAACCTGCCCATGTAGCCTGTGGTCTCCCTGTACATTTGGTAACAAGCTGCCTTTCAGCTGTGTGCTGGCATGGAAGCATCTTCTCCTTGCCTCCTATGGCATTAGGGTTCACTGCTGGAAGATGGCACCAAAAGGCGTCAGGCAGCTTAGAATGATTGACTATAACCTTGACTATACAAGTTGTGGCATAGAGGTGCTGTCCAATAAGTACATGAACCAAGACACTACCACTGATCTGAAAACCATTTTTTGCCTTACTTTGTAGCAATTTAAAGTCATCTTCAAAAGAGAGCACAGAAATATTGACTTTTCAAATAATTTATTTGTATATATCACCAAATCATAAAAAGCCATTGCACTGTCCAGCAAAAAGCATCAACATATAAAACACGTTAACTCAGTAACACTAGAGTGTATCACTTATACTGAACTCATTCTGTCTCCTACTAAAGCCAAATGAAACTTCATCAGTGGCTCCAATAGCAGAAGGATTGGATCCAGAATTTTTATTTGCTAGGTGTTTACAAAGGGCTATATTAAAATGCTAGTAAAAAGCTTCCCTTTTGAGACTGTAT